CAAGTCTATCATATTTGGCGTAAGAACCAGTCTACGAATGCACGCACGAAGCACATTGATGTAGAATTTCAGCTTTGTCTGACGTATTAGATGAATGGTGATTCACGTTGTGGAGAAGGTGCCACACTAAGGATAAACCCGGGCTGATAATGTTGACCAAAGTGATACAGGTGGAAGTTTGTCAGCTGTATGGATTTATTGAACATTCTTCGTTGTGAGCCGTTGGCTGGCCATATTGATGACTACGTTCAGCTTGATTCCTGTGGGAAGAGATACGTAGGCAGTCTTGCAGTGCACCGGTTGAGTTGAATACTGGGGGTGTTTGGTGTCGGCTCAGTTTGGCATAAACGTGTCGCGCAGGGGAGATTTGTAGAGTTGGTGCAAAGTCAGAGATTTGGCCTCTGGAAGTTGGGGCGTTCGACGCGGAGTGGAGCTGCGGTCGGAACGATATGGCGCAAAGCTTTAGTGTCTCTGGCCTTTGGGCGGTCGGCCAGGACGAGGCGCTGCGGTGACGGAATGTCAGAGAGCAGACTGGACCTCGGTATTTTTCGTCGACGCGACAGTGGTGCTGGCCGGTCGACCGACTATCGCGTTTTGGGGTTTAAGGTTGGTTTTTCCAGACCCGTTTTTCTTTTGTAACTTGTATATAAACCCCAAATCTGTTCTAGGGTTTAATGCAAGGGAGATTTTGAGCTGCCAAAGGGTATTTTCTAGGGCTTCTTTTTGTTGGAGTCTATTGGAGTCTATACGTAGGCACATTGCCGAACCACGTATATCTTGTGTTCTTGCTGTGATTGGTTGGCTTGTGTCTATTGTGGTCTATTTTGTTCTTGTGTGTGCTATTGTTTTTGGGTATTTGAGGCTTCCGCGGCGCACAACAAAGTTGAGAAGCATCATGATTTTGCGAAGGGGAGTCCGCATCAGTTGCAAGAGGAACATGTGAACTCTGATCATGAATCTGAGCTCAGGATCTCCTTTGTGATTTCAATTGTCTTGATCTTGAGCCATCTCTTGTTAGACTCTGAATGCTATTTGAATCTTGAGCTGAGTTCCTGGTAGGTGGTCTTCCCCTCTTTTTCTTCTCCTTTGGTATCTCAACTATTGCATTAGTACAATGCCTAGCATCGTGCCCCGCCTCTCTAAATCTTCTAATTGAATCTGGATTTTGCAACTCATGAGAAGCTTTCCTCCTATTCCTTTTTTGGTCTACCAGGCCTTTTCTTCAATGGGGATTCAAGATCTTTGCTTCACCAGTTTTTGGCCAACGTCTACTATTAAGCATTGGGCTTATATCTCTATTATGTACCTCTCTCTATCTCACAGTTGACAAGTAATCATCTAACACTGTCACAGGATCAATTCTGGCATCATACAAAGTTTGGATTTCATGTGTACAAGGGATCCCTGTTATATCGCAAACCCTACAATCACATGTTTTTTTTTGTTGCAAATTGTCGATCACATACTCCAGCCAACGTGTAAGATTTAGCAGTATTCCATAGTAGTGTCTTAACACCAGGATTTTTAAATTTCTCACTGAAATTTACCGATAAGTGCCTTGCACGAAACCTGTGTCTAGCAATATTAGGCACTAATTTCCTGAATGTCTCAAGCTATCCCTGCATTTAGAAATTTAAAAAACAAAACAATAGTATTTAATCTTGTCAGCGATAATCATGATCGTGAAAATAAAATATGTGCTCAAGTAGATAATTGAAGTACATTTCACATACCTTTTATCCTTCACTTATATAGACCCGACCACGTTCACCAGTAAACATCCAATAAACCAAGTCCAAGTTTGTTCACATTTATTTTACACTATTGCCACAGCTACACGAGACATCTGATTATTCCCATCTCTAGACTTTTAGAAAGAAGAAAAAAAAAACAGATATCCAAACCAATGACTGCCTACATCCTATCTCAAACCCACTAATATGTGCCTTATATGTAACAAAGAAGTCATAAAATATGTTAGGTTCACTTGTATCTATCTTTCTAGTCCTCAATCTAATAACATAGTTAGGACTTTTACTCGAGAGAATGTTTGCATAGTCTCTAAGCTTCCAATATTGTTCTTTGTAACATCCATTTATGATATCCAAACCCCTCCTCCTCATTCTATACACTTTAAGGGGCCCTACCTTGATTTTCAACTCCCTGAACATTGTTGTTTACGATGACTCAATCTTTAATCTTGGATTTTATTTAATTCTCAACAAAGTAATAGTTTACTAGCTAATTAGAAGTAGCTTTTGGATTAAGAAGTAGCCTCTTAATTACATGTATGGCTATCGTGTAACAATTTTATTTTTCATTTTTTGTATGCCTTGAATTCAATGAAGCATAACACCTCCATTGACAGGCAGCCATCAACCTTGCATACAACTGGAAATCGTACCCCCTGCAGTTAATTTACTTTTAAACTCAAAGTCTCTTGTCACAACATTATGTTCCTCTAAAAGGACAGTAGAAGGGATGATCCTTAGATAAACTAATTTTAATCCTCTGCCAACTGAGCTAAAACGGTCTTTAGCATGAAATCTAAATTCACTTTTATACGCGCAATTCCTGATAAGCCCTTGTAAGTGGTCCCAAGTGAAATAGCCTTTGTCAACATGCAACATTCCTAGTTTTCTCACTATTATATTTCAATCTAAAGAGTCTTCATAAAGCTACCACCATGGTGAAAAGTGTTGCGCGCCGTGCGGAAGCGTGCTCGACAACCAAACGAGTCGGTGAGTGATGAGAGAAGAAACCAAACCAAATCAAGAGTGCAATTCACCAAAATACGACACAAATCAAACCAAACACAAGGATTTGCGTGGTTCGGCAATTGCCTACGTCCACGGGGAGAGGATGGGGAGATTTTACTATATGGAGGAGAAATACAACGGGTTACAACTCATAAAATCACTCAAATATAACCCTAATCAAAGCTCTCAACTCCCTCACAATATCTCCCTCTCAAAGTGCTCAAAACAATACTAATTCTCTCATTTTCTCTCCTTAAGAAACCTTAAAAAACGTGGTCCTATTTATAATAAAACACAATCCCAAATAAAGGAGGATTCTCAAACAAAGGAGGATTCTAAAAACGAGTCTGCCACACCAGGGTGTGGCGCAGACCACACCCATGGCAGACAGGGCAGATTCTGCCACACCAGGGTGTGGCGCAGACCACACCCATGACAGACAGGGCAGATTCTGCCACACCCATGGCAGACACCACACCAGGGTGTGGTGGAGTCTGTTTTGGGTTTTTCTTCACGTTTTTTCACAATTTCTTCGCCGTTTTCACAAAAAGTAACTATAAAATACACGGTAAAACAATTTTAAACAATGAATTAACTCTCTTGCGTCTTCGGAGCCCACTACTCCCACTACAGGATGGATGTGTGTGTGACAATGTTAAAAAAAAACTAAAAATAGTGATAAAGAAGAATTGAGTCAACCAAAATTTGCATTTTAACACCAAAATCAAAGCATAAATTAATGTCGGTTTACGACGTGGGTCATTCTGACGAAGCTTTTTTGCAATTGGGGTCATTAAAGTGGTAAAACGTGAAGCTTTGGGTGATTTTTATGCAATTTACCCTTTAGTTTAAATTAGTACTATCCAAAATAAAAAATATTGCGCGCGCGCGTAATAGTTTCCAAGTCTTATTGCTTAAACCCTTGGAAGAGCTCTTGACCTTTTGTAGAGCCTAGAAATTATCTCTATACTATAAAGGGCTGTTTGGTTCACCCATTCTTGGGAAAATTAATGGGAAATCATCTGACAATGACAATTTGATAATTAAAAGATTTCCTTGGGTTTTCTAAAACTATGTTTAGTTTACAAAAAAGTTATAGAAATGTTTTGCATAAAGTTGAAAAAAATACATCGTTTTATAGAAAATTAATTTCCTCTCGATATGGGCCAAAGTTGATCAGGAATCTGAAGCATTAATTTAAATAATAGTTTTTGTATAAGGGGCTGTTTGTTTGCCTAAAAAAGAGAGAAATCAAAGAATAGGAAACCTATTTGTAATAAAAATTATTTTGAGATTGTTTGGTTGACTAAAAAAGAAGGAAATCAAAGAATGGGAGATGAGTTGTCACATTATTATTGGATGATGTAGGTGATTTTTTAAGAAAATTTGTTTTGAGCTTGTTTGGTTGGCTAAAAAAATAAGAAAATAAATTATAAGAAACCTATTTCCTGTAATAGTTTTTTTCTTGTGTTTGGTTCATTCATAAAAAAGAAGATGAGATAAGATGAGTTGTCATTATATTATTGGATGATGCGACCCACACTTAAGGAAACTGATTTCCTAGTTTTTTTTTTGAAGGAAATGAGTGAAAATGAAATGTTAATGAGATGAAATGAGTTGTTACCATATTATTGGATGATGTAAGTGATTTTTAAAGATGAGATGTGATGGAGATGAGATGAGTTGGATGATGTGACCAATTTCTTGTGTTTGGTTTATTTTTAGGAGATGATATGAGATGAGTTGCGAGATAAAAATAATATTTTATTGGATGTTGTGGTGAGTTTTAGGGATAAAAATGGATGAAAATAATATTTTATTGATTTCCATGCACCCTTTTCATTTTCTTGATTTTTAGGAAACCAACCAAACAACCCCTAAACTTATCCATTTTTATTAGAAATACATGAAAATAAAACTTTTTCTATAAACTTATCCGTTTTTATTAGAAATACATGAAAATAAAATAAAATAAAACAAAACCTTTTGTATTTCTATAAACTTTTTCTATAATTTTTTTATAGAAATACATCAAAATTAAATTTTGGGTACTTTTTCTTTTAAGAAATTGAACCAAGCGCTTGTTGCGTGAGCTGTGGCCAGTCTAGTATTGGACTGGGCTTTTTGTAATATAAAAGCCCTAAAGGTGTAAAGGTTTTTGCGCACGTCTTGGGCCCCCATTAGTTAGTCACCCACTTTCGTACCTCAGCGACCGACCTTCGCCTTTTGGCGGGAATTTTCTTATCTCACCTCTCTCTCTCTCTCACGCTCTCATTTGCTCTCTCATTCTCTAATGGAGGACGCAGGCGGAGGAGACGATCGATCGAGCTACGTCTGTGGATTGATCGAGAACAGAGCGAAGGAGGTAAGATCTCCGTTCTAGTTTCTGTTTTCATCGTTTTACCGTGCGAGAATCGAAATCTAGGTTTTTTTTAGTTGAAATTCTCAGTCCCCGATCATCTTTTTGACGAGTGTCGCTGGTCTCCGTGACGTTGATTACTCGATTCATACTATGAAATTATAATACGAGTTCTTAAGTTTTTGTTCCAGATATAGTTGGATCGATTTAGGGTTTTCCCCCCTCCTGTGTCATAGGGAAATTACTGGGGTTTCTGTTCGTAATAATGTTTTTTCTCGTAAGATTGCTCGTGTTTAGAAATTACCGAGTGCAGTAACTGATCGGATCGGAGTTTGTGACATTTTCGGCAAGGTCTAGGCTTTGTAGATCATGTTATGATTTTAACGGCTTACTTTTTTAGAAGTACAAGGGATATCCTTTGATGTTTTTGAAGGATTTCTTTCGTTCTTGTTTCAGATTTATGTTTCTTAGTTTCTATTTGAATTTTTAGCTGTCATTAGCAAAGTTCTTTTTATCGTAACTGAATTCTACTTAGCGAGGGAGGTGCTCAAATGGGGGAATGAATTATATGGACTAGTTCTTCGTTAAATTCTTTCTCAAGTGAAATTATCTGATAGAGCTACTGATGTATGTTTGGATGCTTTTTCTATGATTCTGTACTGATGCCTGCTTGGATGCTCAAGGAAATGCTTTTTAAGAAACATAGTGACTGTTGCCAATTTACAATCTAGTTACAAAGCTTTCAGGAGTTCATTAGGGTTCAATGGTTGTCACATGGCAAGTTCGCTCACTTTCATGTTATGTGACCTCTCAACATTTCACCTACAATGACATCCATGATCCATGCTAGTCGCCACTGAATGATTAATTTGGTAGTATTATGATACTAAATGGTGCCATTGCTGGGCTGCATTTCTTTTTGAGTAGACTGGTAGGCTACATCAAAGAATATTATGCACTCATGCAGTTAGAAAAAGATTTAAGTCGTGAATTTCAAAAAATGTGAGGAATCTATATGCTGAGTTGATGTCCTCTTTCTATATCTTATTTGATAGATGCTGAAGTAGGAAAATGTAAACAAGATCGAGTGAGGGGTCAAACTCAACTAAACAGTTCTTCACTATTCACTATTCCCTATGTATGTTATATATGTTACGCACGCGCGCGCACACGTGCATGGGCATCCGTGCATGTGCGCATGCGTGCGCGTGTGAAAAATGAGTATCCTTGGTAACAATGTGAAGTTCCGTCTGTCATTGGTTTGGTATCCTTCTTTTGGTATCCGGTGCATTTTTCAATAGACTGTGTCCGCATCATAGGAGGACATCTTGTGCAATTGTATAATTTATTGGTCTTACGGTAAAGGGAATGTCATGAGGTCCGTGATGAGGTGTTTAAATTACAAGTAGACATGCAGAATGCCAAATTTTGTTTCTATTTTAGTTCTAGTTTGTGTCACTAGCCCATGTTTGTTGGAGCATATATTTCGTTTTGATTTACTACTGCTTATAACACTATAGTTTCTAAGTCAATTTTCATTTTGTCAAGCAAGCTCAGCTAGATGATAGTTTATAATGTTTTCAGAGATGCATCCTTTTCTACATTTGTCATTTTGTACTAATTCAAATGTTCCTGGAGTTGGAGATTTTCTTGCCGAACTTTTTGGCAAATTAGGATCTGTATCACCACCTGTTTTGATCATCTTTAGTGTAGACGATAGCTATAAAAGAAAGCCTTTCCAAAGCCTTTTCATAAAAAATTCATCGTGTTAGGTGCTTCCTTTGCTTGATTTTGCATACTACACTTCATTTCAAATTGGTATTGAGAAGTTCCTTTGAGATTGTCTAAACTTTCACGGGGTTAAAAGCTTCAATAGTAGCTGCAAGCCTGCAAGTGAAATTCGTCTTCCACAAAGTAACTTGTAATTCCCTCACACAAGGATACTTGGTCAGTGTTCCCCAATTTATTCATGTTCTGTTATTACTTTTTCTTTCTGTTCGTTGTTGTTAAAGCAGGGTATGATCATCTGTATGATTTTCTATCTCCCTAAAGTATTAACTTAGATTCAAATCTTCCTAAATATTCCAACACCATGAGCTATTTCCAAAACCTTTATTTGCAGGTTGGTGTGGCCGCCTTTGACTTGCGGTCGGCTTCTCTGCATCTTTCACAATACATTGAAACAAGCTGTTCATATCAAAATACGAAGACCCTACTGCACTTCTATGATCCTATGGTAATAATTGTGCCCGCAATCAAGCTGGCACCAGACGGTATGGCTGGAGTCTCAGAGCTTGTAGATAAACATTACTCTTCAAACAAAAAGGTGTTAATCTTATATCCTTTCTTTGTTGAGAACTTTTCATGTGCTAACTAGCATTGTGATATGCAGGTCATAATGTCTCGTGGCTGTTTCGATGATACCAAGGTGGTTCATAGCTCAGCTTCTCTCCTCTTAATTGATCTGTATGCATGATTTTCTTACTTTCATGTTTCTTATTCTTTTAAGGGAGCTGTTTTGATTAAAAATTTGGCAGCTAAGGAGCCATCTGCTCTTGGCTTAGATACTTATTACAAACAATATTATCTTTGCCTAGCTGCCGCTGCTGCAACAATCAAATGGTATGTCATTATATATCAGCAACTACGAGATCTCTTCCTCTACCTTTTGAATTCCGTAATTTTTATATAGCACTCAACTAAGTAGTATTCTTTCTTGGGGATGATTGTCAAGTTTATCTTCAATACAATCGAAAACATAGTCCCGCCTCTTAAAGTCCCTAACCTTTACACGGAACTCTGAAGTTATGTTGAGAATTGAAGATTATATGTTTATATTCTAACATACCCCAGCAGGTTGAGCACCCTTTTAACGGCCCGAGACTGGAACTCACGCAGCAGTGTCAATGTTTAGAAATCCGCTTTATATTCATCGATGGTGAGATTTAAACTTGGATAGTTCTGAAACCATCTTAAAGTCCCTAACCATTACAACATAACTCCAAAGTTATGGTGAGGATTGAGGATTATATATTTTGATATTCTAACACTCACGATTGTTATACTCCCTTGAGAATATTTAGCAAAGTAACCTCTTCTGACTTGAATTTTTTTATAGCCACAACTATTAATACCTTTGACTAAAATTTTATACTATCACAAATTTATTGTTACTCTGAATGCATAGAAGGTGAATATTATTAAAATGACACTGAGATCATTGTTTAGAGAGGTGTTCACCAAGGATCAGTAAAACACAGTACAAAAATAATGTTTCTGATATGATCCCATAATGCCGAAGATGTGGCTTCTTATGCCTGCAATGTTTCACAGAAAACTGGTATTCGTAAATCCTATGTTTGTTGCATGTTTCGCTGGTTCCGTTAGTGGTGCTTTCCCTTGAACCTTCTTTGAGTGGGTTTATGATAATAAATTGTGAAAAATTTGAAGGTGTGCAAGTTTGTTAGATGGAACAAACTTTAGTAGTCATGATGCCACCTGAAATGTTTTATTCTACCTGACAATTTTACCTGAAACTTCTATCTGAAACTTCTACAGAAAACTGGTGTTCAGTTCTTCTGTATGTGTTTGATAGAGGTATGCATGTGTTATCCACGTGCATTTTTATGTGTTTTATGGATGCTTTTGTTCATGTGTGTATGCATGTAAGAATGGGTTTATATGTTTCAGGTTGTCACACTGTAGGTTCTTTCATCTACACTTGAGTGTATGTGTTTTCTAGTTAGTTAAACTGGTAATTCCCCCCACCTTGCTTGTGGGTATGTCTCTATACATCTGTTTGGGTGTTGATGTGGGGGATATGCATGTGCAAGTGTTCAGATAGGTTTGGTAATGCGAGTTTGTGCTTGTGCTTAAGTAGAAGAATTGTGTGCATATCTATTTTTTATATTGTCATTTTCAAAATTCTTTCACATTCCCTTCTGTTTGTGACTTAGCTATAGTTGCTTGAATTAGGAGTTCAGAGTGCAAAGTCAGGTGGTAGCGTTTTGAGCTAAAGGCCACTATAGGTTTAGATGGTGAAAGTTGGATGACAAACTATCAAAAGTTATTAAATTTTCTTCTGGTACTTAATAGATATATGGAAAAGGGTATTTTGTTGATTTTGATAAAACCACATAACAGGTTAGGAGATATGATCTAATTATAGATGCTTAGGCTTCTCTTATGCTGAACTTTTAAAACACTGTTATGCTGTGGTACTTTTTTTCTTCATATATGCATCAAATATGTGGCTGGTAGGATTTGAATCTTGGTTGCTCTATTACCATGTCAAAGGTGCCTACCACTACACACACAGCGAAGCTGTGGTAAGCGTTGAGGGTTATAATTTATTAATTTTATACTCTTGCAAGGTATTGATCCCTCAAATCATAGATAATTTGAAATAGCTCTCCAAGATGTTATTCCGAGAAAAAGCCCCCCTAAACCTTTAAGTTATACCAGGTAAATTCTTATAGCTTAATACCACTACTTTAACTCAAAAAACTAACTGCCATTACATTTTCCTCCCTTTTCCCATTATACCCTCTTCTCCTTTATCCCAATCTCTCCCAAAACCAACACTAACGTCGGACCATCACCTACAGTCAGTCATCATTGGACAATCACCAACAAACCAGTATATCTTGATCTCCATTGGCTGTAGCTGGACCTCCGACCAACGACAGATGGAAACATTGACCGGCACTGGATCTTGGGCGACATTATCGCCAGGCCTCTATAGGCTGGTACTCGCTGAACCGACGCACTCAGATCACTTGCTGCTTGATTGGCCTACTGGTGCGGGGGGGGGGGGATGATTGTTAACCAGGGTTGGGTTAATTTTAATGAGTATTTAACCCAACTGTATTTAGAATTTAACAAAAATTAATAACTTGAACCAATTTGATGTAACTTAAAGTATTTGGAGGTCTTTTCTCAAAAGAACATCTTTTGGGGGCACCTATTTGTAATTATCTGTGTTTTGAGGGAGCAATACCTTAAAAAGCCTATACAATTTCAAATACTTGCGTATGTCCTGCCACACCAAAAGTAACATGGTTCACCTAATGGCAATGTTTTAAGATATCTTGTGCATGCTCCTTTACAAAGCTATACTATGGTTGGAAGAATAGGTTATTCATATCAGCTATGTTACGACCTCAACCATGCTATCAATGTAAGATATGTAGGCCAACCATGCAACATTTATCTCATTTTGTTTCTTCTAGTATTATACAGGGCCTCTCAACTAGCTAACTACAAGTTCATGTAATTAGGCAGGGCCTTGTTCTTAACATCTTATGGTGCATGCTGGGATTAACTCGTTCTCTCAGCTGTTTTTGGTGACATGCTTTTTATTTTATATATAGGACTGAAGCGGAGAAGGGTGTGATCATTACAAATCATTCTTTAGCGGTATGTTTTCAAATCTCTGAGTACTTTTTCTTGTAGGAGGGACCTTCAATACATCTGTAAGATCATTGTAAATAATTTCCATCTTTTCATTCTCATGCTGTTTCTTTCTGCCCATTCTTTTAAGTAATATTGATGCACACTATGTTCAGTACAGTTTGGTGTTGAGAACATTTCTTCCTAAAATTCTAATCAGTCTGTATGATATTTTAAGTTTTGACCTCTATTACCTCGTAGTTCCTTCATGCAAAATTGATTCTTGTAAAAGGTAAGGTTAGAGTATGTCCGTTATAGTGAATCTGGCCTTTTGACTATGCATAATTTGTAAACAGAGGGTTCATGCACAACTATATGCTAGTTGAATTTTCGTTTGACTTTTACATATCTGCATAAATTTTATGTGCCCATCATTAGCAGGATCCTGAATGGTTCGCTTTTAGCTGCAGTGTATTTCAAATGGCCCACCATATTGGATTTGAAGGCTGTATTTTGATTTATTTCTTATATGCTATTCTTAATGCTGATTCAAAATGAACTCCAGGTTACTTTTAATGGCTCATGTGATCACATGAATATAGACGCGACAAGGTATTATTTTCTTAATTAGGAGCACTTGATTACTTGAGCTACTGGTTTACGTCTAGACAATGTGAAGTTGTTAGCACTCCTTACTGATTTACGATGCAATTGTACATTAATGTTGCGTTTTATTGTAAGACTTATGAATTTTCAAGAATCCGAATCATCATATCCTACTTGCAGTGTCCAGAATTTGGAAATTATTGACCCATTGTGTACTGAACTCTGGGGCAGTAACAACAAGAAGAGAAGTCTGTTCCAGATGCTGAAGACAACAAAGACTATTGGAGGGTATGTTTTGTTGTTTTAGTTTATCAGATTATGCAGAAATGATCAACATAGAGGAAATTCACACTAGACATAGGAAATACAGATTATGTAATTTCAGTTCAGTTACAGTTTCAGTTTTTCTTCACTTATAATGACAATACTTTCAATTAGTAGTACTTTTACTGGATCATTAATTTATGTATGTTAAACGCCTTGTCGTTTTTCCTGTGTTATATTTGGTCGAATGTATATTATATCACTAGATTTCCTAGATCCCAGTATTTTCATATAACTGCTAGCTTTATCTCGTCATCCTGATCATCCTAATCACAACCTTGTACATCAGAATGTAGTGAGCTTTAGAGCATGTCCCTAGTCAAGCAAGGCACAAGAAAGGTTTGACCAAAATTATGCCACATTGTTACCAATTCTTTCTACCACGTTATCAAATTTCTGGTAGGTCAGTTCTTGCCCAGAGGTAGTTGCCATGAAACTTAGTAGGGCTCCTATATTATTCTTGTTTATTTTGTATATTTGTCCATATGTCTGTGTGAGAGAGATGCAGTATATGTCCACTAGGAGCCTTGAAAGCTGTGTTTATGTTAGTCTTCCCAATTTGTCCAAACTGATAGTCATCAAAATCAAGGATAAAATTTTTGATATGATCCACACATCGAAACACATTTATAAAAGATAATTCGCAAATTGTTGTAAAACCTTTACAAGATCAAAATAATAGGTTTTAATATAACACGTCATTTTCATGTGTACATGATGACATGTCAGAAGTACTTGAACACTTAATTTTTCATTCACATGACTTGGTGGGACTTATTTTTCCCTATTAACAAGCATACATATTCTTTTCACCTACGAACACGGTGTACTATACTAATATATACTTTACGACTTTCATCCTGAGGTACACAACATAAGACGTATGAATATTATGCTATCTAAAAGTATATACGTGTTTCATGTGCATATAAATGTGAAAAAAATCTACTATGTCATTATGGTGATACCTAGTTTGATGTGTTTCCATTCTCTTGGCAGTCCTTCTTTGAAACACTTCGGTATTGTTCATTTGGGGGGAGGGGAGTTATTGGTTGGTGTAATTTTGGAGTAAGTAGGATAATTTTTGGGACTTTAGTTTTTGGTGTTATTCATTGGGACAATTGGATTAAGATTTCGCTTTAAGGTGTTATTCATTGGGATAATGAGATTGAGACGATTATCCCCGCTTTTCCCAAGATTATCCCATTTCTATATAAACTTTTTGTCCCAATCTTTAAAATTTACCCCATTCTTAACTTTGGGATAATCATAGGGAATGTGGATAATTTTTAAGTTTCAATTTATTGAACATCTAATATACGTTGTATTGTAATATAGAATATATCTTAATTATATTATATTATAAAATTCTGCTATAATGTAAGATAATAAAATATTATATAATATTATCTTATATAACATTGTTATATATCATTATTACATATTAGTTAATAATATTTCATATATTATAATATAAGTATTAGATTATTATAATATTGCTTTATATTATTTAATATATATTTTATTAGTTAGAATTAGAGTAAAAATATTATTGTAGTATTTTAATGATATAAAATATTGTATTATAATTTAGTGTTTATATATTAAATATAATATTATATTCATTTTATTATAATATAATTTAATATGATAATATATTCTATTATATAGAATATTTTAATTTATATAATAATTTACTATTTTCTATTACACTTTATTATATTAATTAATACTCTTATAAAAATAGTAATAATCTACTATATATTAAAGTATGATATTATATATAAAATTAATATAATATAATATATTGATTAATAATTTTTTAATTAATAATATTGAGCATATTAATAGTATATTATAGTTATTATAAATATTATATTTTAATAAGGAGCTATATCATCAATTATCCCATTTAAATTATAATAATCATCATAAAATAAAATATTATATTTTAATAATAATATAATTTTTAGATAATATAATATTGAATAAAATAAAATTATATTGATTAATAATTTTTTAATTAATAATATTGAGCATATTAATAGTATATTATAGTTATTATAAATATTATATTTTAATAAGGAGCTATATCATCAATTATCCCATTTAAATTATAATAATCATCATAAAATAAAATATTATATTTTAATAATAATATAATTTTTAGATAATATAATATTGAATAAAATAAAAT